TGTACCTGATAATTATATTATTATATTGTTATAAAATCTTATTATCACCATTTACGTATTCTTCTTCATTCTCCTCAAATTTATTTTTTTATTTTCTTTTATTTTAATCCTTTATTATTAATGCATAGTTCACCATTTTGATTGTAGTATTTTTTTGATTTCTGTATTTAATATTATATATTTTTCATTTATTATTTTATTTAATTTGAATAAAAGTTTTGAAATTATATTATCATGTTACTCTAACTACATACATTCTACCTTTATTGAATATTTACTTTTATATTTTGACTTGTAGATTAAAAATAATTCTTTCTATAATTATATAAATTTGTATTAGTTATTCTGTGTCTGATATATGTATAATATAAAAAATCAAAAAAAAATTTGATTTTACCCTAACTTGCTTATAGAATTCAGAATCTAAATATTTTATTGTTTTCTTTTTTTTTTCTTCTTCAGATGATGATGATAATGAAAAAGAAGATAAAGAAGAAGATGAAGAAGATGAAGAAGAGGATGAAGAAGAGGAAGAAGAGGAAGAAGAAGAAGAAGAGAAAGAAAAGGAAGAAGAAGAAGATTTATTTTTTTTTTGAATTTTTTTTTATTATTTTTGTTAACAATTTTTTTATTTTTATTATTTTTATTAAGTATTTTGATAAATATTTGGTTTACTTGTTTGTATTTTATAAATATTGTATATATTAGTTATATATTAGTCATAATCATTAATTAGTTTACTTTTTTTTAAAATTTTATTTTTTGTTTTCTTTTTTAATACCTGATGGGATAAAAAAAATTTGTTATTTTTTTGATTTGTTATTTTTTAAAAAAAAATATTTTATTTTTCTAATTATTCTAATCTAATTAAATAAAATATTTTTTTTTAAGAAAGAAAGAAAGAGAAAAAGTAATTTTTTATATATTGTATTTTTTAAATTTTTTGATATCAAAAGGTATGATATCGGATATATTATATATAATATTATATGAAGTAATATTTTCATATTATTTATATTCTTAATTATGATATGTTATTTTCATATTGTAATACTCTAAATTACTGTTTTTATCTTTTATCTATTTTTATCTTCTTTATTTATATTATTTATAATTATAGTTAATTTTGTAAATCAGTAATACAAATTAAGAAGTACTACATTTAAGGATTATCATTATTAATTTATTCAGATATATACTTAGATATGATACCTAGAGAAATACCCAGGTAAGATACCTGTAGATAGATAATGAAATTACCTTTGATAATATTATTTGTATCACTTAATAGAAAACTAATCTAGTATAGAGAATAGTATAGTTTGTCTGTGGTATAAAGGGTGCTGAAAAGATATAAATACAGGTCTCTTTAGTCTTGGTTTTTGAAAGCAGTTAATTCAGTTCAATTTAGTTTTAATAATTTTTAAGTTTCATATAATATCCAAATAGTTCTCTGATTTATTCTTTTAATAAATATTATTTCTTTTATCATTCTATATATTTATTTTTTATTATTTATTATTATATATCTTATCTATTTCTTATATTTCTTGTATTTATTTTAATAAAGTTAATATTAAAATAAAATTTTTGTATAATTTATCAACTTTAAATCTTTTATATATATACCTTGCTAAGTCACAAACTAACTTGGTATTGTAAAATCCATGTCACAATAAAGAATTCACTCCTAAGTTGACCCTCTTCTTTAACTTTGTAATTTGTTATAATTGATCAAGTAGGATCAATTGAAAATAGCATAATAATTATATAATCTTTTGTTAATTTTTGTTAGAGAAGATTCTCTATTCTTTAAAATATTGTCACATTAGACACATGACAACATATTCGATAGTTTGTATATAATATATCAGATAACATACCATATCTTACCATAAATAAACACTACTTTTTATATATGTAGACATCAAGTCATTTTATATCCTAATGCTTATTCCTAGTAGAATTTTTATATTCTTAATTTTTAATTAACATTTACATGATTCAAGATCTACTAATAAAAATTGTTCAGATTTTAAAATCGTTTCTTTGTTTTTTATTATATTAAAAAAAAAAAAATATTGTATAATACTCAAGAAAAATTAATAATAATTCAATATGCAAATAATAATAATATAATATTGATTATAGTCAAATCTCACATTGGTATCAAAAAGAAGAAGAACTTGTATTAGTACAGAAAAAAAAACAAATATATTGAAGTAAGAAAAAAATTTTTATATCTTGAAGCTAAAGAAAAATTAAAGAAATAGATTATTAAACTTTGACAAAATGCAATTGGAGTAATATTAACAGTTATAAAAGAACAAATGAAAAAAATATTAAAAGAAGATTTTTCAAAAATTGATACAAAAAACTTTGAAATATCTAACATGTGATTTAGTCATTTTCTTTCTCAATATGACCTTGCTTTATGCTGGAAAATAAAAATAAGTTAGAAACTACCTGATGATCTTAATCAAAAAATTATAGATTTCTATAAATTTATTATTTTACAAAGAAGAAAATATAATTATGAACTAAATCGAATAGGAAATATAGATGAAGCACTAGTGTTTTTTGATATAGTAGGAAATACTACTATTGAAGTAAAAGGATTAAAAACAGTTAAAATTCGAACTACAGGAAATAACAAAAATCAGTATTAAAATTTTTATTTTATTTTATAAAATTTTTATTCATTTTATAAAATTTATATTATTTTTAATAATATTTTTAATATTTTTATAGCTTTATATATGTTTTGACTATATTTGCACGTAAAATTATTTTGGAATCCAAAATTTGAAATATAAATATCTTGAAATTGACCTAAAATATTATTTCAAAATTTTGATATTTCAAAATTAAAATGAGAGTCGAAATTAAAATAAAAGTTGAAATTAAAAATGGAAATCGAAATTAAAAATAAAAGTCAAAATTAAAATGAAGGTTGAAATTAAAAATAAAAATTGAAATTAAAATAAAAGTCAAAATTAAGATTAAAATAAAAACTATTAAAAAAAATTTTAAAATATATATTTTCAAAAGTTATATAAATTTTAAAAATTTTTATTAAAAAATCTGTTTTTTTTTAAAAAAAATAATATTAATACATAGTACAAGTTTACAATTACGATTCCAGAGTATAGGTAAATATCTATACTATTTTACGAGCCTAAAAGCATAATTCTGAGGAAAGATAAGTTAAGAAGAGGTAGAAAGGTAAGTAAATATATTTATTAAAAAAATAATAATAATAATAATAATAATAATAAATCTATTTATATCATTTTACGATCATCTGTATTATTTTGCAAGTTCAAGAATACAATTCCAAGGAAAGGTAAGTTAAGAAGAGGTAAAAAGATAAGTTAAGAAGAGATAGAAAGATAAGTTAAGAGGTAGAAAGGTAAGTAAATTTATTTTATTAAAAAAATAATAATAATAGAGAAAGAAAAAACTTATTTACGCTATTTCACGATCATCTATGCCATTTCACGAGTCCAAGAGTATAATTTAGAGAAAAGATAAGTTAAGAAGAAGTAAAAAGATAAGTTAAGAAGAGATAGAAAGATAAGTTAAGAGATAAAAAGGTAAGTTAAGAAGAGATAGAAAGGTAAATTAAGAGATAAAAAAGTAAATGAATTTATTTTATTAAAAAAATAATAATAATAAAGAAAGAAAAAACTTACTCACACCATTTCATGATCGCCTGTATCATTTCACAAGCTCAAGAACACAATTCAGAGGAAAGGTAAGTTAAAAAGAGGTAGAAAGGTAAGTTAAGAAGAAGTAGAAAGGTAAGTTAAGAGGTAGGAAAGTAAGTGAATTTATTTTATTAAAAAAATAATAATAATAAAGAAAGAAAAAGCTTACTCATGTCATTTCACGATCACCTGTGCCGTTTCGTAAGTCCAAGAGTACAATTCAGAAAAAAGATAAATTAAAAAGAGGTAGAAAAAGTAAATAAATATATTATTAAAAAAATAATAAAAAAAGAAATAAAAAACCTACTTATGTGTTATAAGGTAGAAAGGTAAGTTAAGGAGAGGCAAAAAGATAAATTAAGAAGTAAAAAGATAAGTGAATTATTTTATTAAAAAAATAATAATAAAAAAAGAAAAAGTTTACTTATATCATTTTACAATCACCTATGCTATTTCACGATTACTTGTACAATCCCTAAGTTTATTTTTTTTAAAAAAAAATCTATAAATCTATAATTTTGGAGTTTTACAACTATTTTGTCTCCTATTAAAATGTTAATTTTGATTAAGGTTACATTAAATTTCATCCTCCATGATAATTTCAGGTTATATTATTATTTTGTTCCCTGCTGAAATATTAATTTTGACCAGGGTTTTACTAAATTTCGTTCCCTATAATAATTTCAACTCTATAAATATTTTTGTCTTTTATAATAATTTTGAATTAATTTTGAATTTCGGAATTCAATTTCAGGATATTTTAAATTAACCAAGGTTGAATTTTGGATTTTTAATTTTAGGGACATATATAGTTTTGACAGTTTTTACTAGTGATACAAAACTTTTTCCAATGATAATTTTTAAAGGAAAATGTTTTTCACCAAATTTACCATCTGAAATTATAGTAAAAATGTATGAAAAAACTTGAATAGATAAGAATTAATAAAAATATAATTAGAAAAAATTCGGAAAAACTGATCTAATGGATTATTAAAGAAAAAATCATTACTAGTTTTGGATTTTTTTGAAACATATAAAAACTCTACAAATAAAACTTGCATTTAAAGATGAAAATAGTAATTTAGCTGTAATTCCTAGTGGACTTATACCAGTGATACAACTATTAAATATTTGTTTAAACAACCCTTTTAAAGATCATCTTTGTGTAAAATGGTATCAATAGCTAGCAGTTGAAAATTTTAATTTAACCAAAATGATAATATTAAAAAATCTAGTTATAATATTATCTATAATTGGATTTTAGAGGTATGGAATTCTATATCAAAAAAGATGGTTATTAAATCATTTAAAAAATATGATATTTCAAATTCGATAGATGGAATAAAAGATTATATTATATATAAATTTAATGGTGAGAATAATTATGAAACAAATTATGATCGTGAAGTAATTTTAAAAAATGATATATCAGCATATGGTTTAGATATTGAAGATAATGAAAATAATAATAAAATTATAGGTGATGCTTATTCTAAAAAATTTATTATAATAAAAATAAAAATGATACTTATTCATAATTTTGACATTAATATTATATAAATTATATTTTAAATTACACATGGTGCTTATTCACAAGGGGATGCTTATTCATGGTAGGATATAATATATGTAATATACTTGATAACATGTTTATATTATATCCAACAACATATATATAATATATCTGATAATGTATATATAATATATCAAATATCATATACTCTGATTAATTGCTTTGAAAATAATGTGCAGAATACAATCAACTTATTATATATACTTGATCATTATAATCTAACTCATCATTTACTTCTAAAGAAAATTGATTATAAACATTGAGCCAATATACAAACTTTATATAAGTAGTCAAATAACAACTTGAGTTTGGTGATCAGCAAGTTATTTATATTTACTTGTCATAACCTAAATCAATATTTTCTTCTAAAGGAAATTGATTGAAAACATTAAGCTGATATACAAAATTAATATAAATGGTCAATAAACAACTTGAGTTTTGTAATATACATATTATTCGAGTGTGACCTAAAAAGAAAAATACACATTAACCATAACACATATCTTAATAGATCTTCAAATGTAATCTGTATAATTATCTATTTTTTAGATTATATCAGATCATCTATAAGGCTTAAAAAACAAAATACATGTTATTCGAGTGTGGTCTAAAAAACAAAACTCACATTACTCAAGTGAGACTTAAAAAGCAAAATATATATCACAAATAACCTGATATAATCTACACTAACCAGAACAAATATAAAAGATATGCTATACCAAAAAGGAATTCTGATTTTAGTTAATTTATAATATAGGATACAATAGAATGGTCAATTGTTACCAATTTTTAGTCAATCTATAATATAGAAATTACTATTCAGTACAATAATTCTTTTGTATTTGATTAGTATTATTTAATTTTTAATAGAATTGTGAAAATTGTAAAGGCTAATTATAAATTATCAAGAAATTGCCATAACAAAATATTTTAAATCAGTTGAAATATACTTAAATCAAATAAAAATTGTTTAAAAAATCTGTTGAAATATGTTTAAATTATATAAAAATTATCTAAAAATCTGTTGAAATATACTTAAATTGAATAAAAAATTGTTTAAAAATTATTTTGGTTGATTTAAAATCAGAAATTTGATTTATGAAGGAAATATGAAAATCTGATTTTAAAGTGATTTGAATTAAAAGTTATTAAAAATCATCAAAAAAAATAGATCAAAATTGAATGTTTGATTTTTGACCATTTGACTTGTACTATTCTAATATTTTATTTCAATTAATATCTCATATGTCAATTTTACATTTCTCATATACTTTCAAAATGGCACAACCTATCCATAAGGATTGGCATATTGAATGTGTGATTCATGAAACATTTACTATTCAAATCAATAATCTTGACTACTTAATACACACTTTAGCTAGTATGCAAATCACAAATTGCACATCTCACATAATTTCATAACCTATAATAAGTGGAAATAACAAAATTTTGTTATTTTCATTTCATTGAACTTATATTTATTACAAAATGTTTGTTTTTAATTTTCCAGTAAGTCAAGGCCATACTTTTTCTAATATATCATTTCTCTACTTTTGAACAAATAAAAAGATAATTAAAATGGAGTTTTATTCTTTTATTAGGTCAATTTATTCATCCCATCAACTATCATAACCATTTCCTATTACTCCATTTATCACCATTGCATATATTTGTTTTCAAAAATCTTAACATTGATTTTTTTTTGATGATAATCTATGCGATACATTAAAAATAATTCTTGTTGTACAGTAATTTTGCCATTTTTGTATAAGACCTGTTTTTTATCAGAAGAATAAAAAAAACATTCCCGAAATATACATTTTTTTTTTATTTATATCTCTATAAAGTAAACTTTTTTATACATATAATTTTTTTATAAAAATAAAAATCAAATAAAATGATAGAATTAATTACACGAATTTATAGGATTACATAATCTGCAATTCATTATTCTGATTCAGACTTGACAAATATAAGAACAAAAAAGGCTAAATTGCCTGGTAAATATACGCTTTAGACTTTTGGGAAAATTAAAAATAAAATAATTTAAACCTGACTCTTATCTTATCTTTCATGCATCTCTATGTTAAATGCATGGGTAATATTAAACGTTGAATGAGAAAAAAAAAATATTCGCAAATAAGCAATGGATGATAACTTACAAGCCGGAATATTATTCCGTTACATGATCTTTCGTATGTAAAACCTCAACAATTAAGGTCACGAATATAACACGATTTATTTTTAAAATTTTGAAAAACGATATATAAATCTTTAAATAGTCCCTTAGCAAGACCTCACTGAAAAAAATAATTTCTAGCTGAACCGGTTTATACTGTATGTAATGGCATAAGATCAAAAATTCATATATATACAGTACATACATACATATATATATGCTACTCATGCATTACGGAATTTAAATACTAAATTATTAAATAATAGTAGCCGAAATGTTCAGACTCTTCATGAATTGGAAGATATAAAATCTCTAGTAAATATTTTTATCATGAACCAGCAATTTTAAGTGTTAGTATTAAAGAATCACAAGAGTGTATTGGTTAAGAAAAAGATATGCAAAAAAAGAAAGACTAGAAGAATGTATTGGTTAAGAAAAAAGATATAAAAAAAAAAAAAAAGACTAGAACATTCTCAGATATCTCAACTTTAGATTGTGATTCCCAAGAATCCAAAGAATGCAATAATTTTGGTAAAGAAATAAATTTTCATTCATTTTATTTATTTTTATATACTATTTTATATATTATTTTTTTTTTTTAAAAAAAAAAAATCAAATGCATACAATATAATATTTTATTTTTAGAAACATAGGAAGCATGTGAACAAAAGAGGAGAGCGTGAATCACATATATGCATATTTGTATTGGCTTCTTAATGTCCACACAGAGAGTATTCAGTATTCATGAGAAGTTTTTTGATAATATGCGATTGTATAATCTAATTCAGAACAATATCAAGAGCTGTTGTGAAAATGCGAAGATATGGCTTTGGCTTCCTTCTGTGTGTGATACCGAATTTTTGTTTACATTCACAGACTTCCCCATTTTCTTATCATTTTTTCCATTACCCAAAATATTTCGTATATAAATATCCATATTTGTTTGTTTAGGAAATGGAACCAATAATAAAGAATCTATTCCACAATGATATACCCTTTTAAATTAATTATTTCTCAGTCATTAATTATTTCAGTCATTAATTATTTCTCAGACATTAATTATTTCTCATTCATTAATTAAAATGGAAATTTATATAAGATTACTTTCTCTAGAATTACATTCTTTTTGGATGACAGTATAAATAAGGTAATTATAATAATTAGAAAAAAAAAGTAATGATAACCGTATTTAACTATTTTTTGTTTTTCCTATTGTTTTCGGTTAGTCATTATAATTTACTTTCATGTTGATCTTGTGATTTGTGCACCCAAAAATTTTATTAGCAAGAAATTGTGCGTGGATGGATCTGATATTAAAAAATGAAATGGATCGGGTACATGGTTGAAAGAATTTCTTAAAGGGGTATATTTCTTTATAAAATGTTATATTGAAAATGTCATAATATATATTTATATGTAAAAATCTATATTCCAGTTATCAAAATAACATCATCGTTATGAAATTATGTATCAAAATTTTTTTTTTTTTTGGAAATGAATATTTCGCACTTGGGACTTAGTACATAGTGGGAATATTTTGATATACAATAAATGAAAATCGTATTGTGCAATAATTGCAGACTTAGATTTATGTAGTTTAGTAAATGATCTAACATTAAGGGCGAAGAACATGATGGAATAAATGTTGAAGGTGGTGATCCTTCTGAGCGATCAATTGCTAAAGAATTATCTTTATCTTTCAAAGTATAACCATAACTCATTCACAACCCTTGTTACATTAGTCGAAGCATTCATACTCTTCACGGATTGGAAGACATAAAATCTGGAAAATCTCAAGGTAATATTATTATCACGATTTATTGTTTTATTTAATAAATAATTTATATAATTAATTAAATGTTATAACTTATTGATATTGATTCCCAAGAATGTATTGATTTGGAAGACGAATTATTTGATTAATTTGGATATATTTTTTATTGTATAAGTCAATTTTCATTATTATTAAGAATTTATACAAGCTCTCATAATATGTTTTTTGGCAAAACGCATCTTCTTAACAAGGCATTTTTATAAGTATAAATTCCCTTTTTTAGATTTTTGCCGATATTTTACAATCCATACCCGAAGTCCCCGGCCTCTAATTAAAGAATACTCAGTACAAAAATTTTAAATCAATAAGGTTTAACAAAAAACCCGTCAGCCCCACTTAAAGACAACTGCATAATTTTTCTTTTTATGTTAATTAAAATGATGAGTGCATAAAAACAGGATATCAAGTATCACAAATTTTTTTTTTACTATAATGATGAAATAAAAATAATAGGACCTACCAAATTCAGCTTATGATACCAAATAACTAATTATATACATGCATTATTTATATTTGGTTTAATTCAATGAGAAATTTTAAAATTTTAAAGTTATTCTTTCATCTGCATGACATACGTATATGAAGCAATTAAACTTTTTTTATGTGGTCAAATCTTTTTTTTTTTTGAATCTTTTCTAATATATCCAATATATTTTCCAATGTATTTTTCTAATGTATTTTTATTTTTTTATTTTTTATTTTTTCCAATGTATTTTCCAATGTATTTTCCAATGTATTTTTTCTATTCTTTTTGACAAGGAGAAAGAAAAGTGTAAATATTTTGTAAATTCAATTGTTACATTATATAATTATGGTTTATAAATTTCTCACAAAATTAATACGAAATTCACACGTATATTCATCTCATTGACAATTCTGTTTAAAAAGTTAGTTAATTCAAATAGTGATACATCAAAACAAATAAATAATTGTCACATTTGTAAGAAGTTAATGCATAACAAGCAAATCTGCTTTTTTTTTTACTAATTATAAAAGGCTTGATGAATATTTTTTCGAACTTGAAATAATTTTTTTTCACTTCATTTCTGAAAACATTTAATATAATTATTTTTTGACATTATAAATAAAATATAAACATAAAATAACTTTACCATAAATATCTTAGCATATAATCTTTTTTTTTTTTAACATTAATTAAAAAAATGGAAGGTTCAATGGTTTATTCTCGTTACGACATTGTGGCAGCTCTGGCTGAATTCTTCGGAACTGCTTATTTCTTATTTATGGGTAATATTATTTTTTTTTAAAAAAAAAACTTGACAACTTATATATTTTTATTGGATATTTTTATTGGAAATTTTAATTAACGCGTCTTTTCTTTTTTTTCATACATAAATTTAGGTGTTGGAGGATGTGCTACCATGATATCTTTTGCTCCTACTATGTAAGTGTTGTATTCAATTCTATAATAATCTTATAAAATTGAAATCTTTAATTTTAATTTTAATCTTTTTAATTTCAATTTTTATAATAGAGCTCCTCTTGCTGTTCCCTTTGCATTTGGTTGGTCATTGTTTGTAAATGTATGGATTTGGTCTCCTATTTCTGGTGGAGGTAAATTCATCAATTTAATTTATTCTTTCTATTCTTTACAATTAATTATCCCATATTATTACAACTTTTTTTTTTTTGATTTTTGATTCATTCTTGACAGTATTAAACCCTGCTATAACCATTGCAATGATGGTCACCAATAATTTGACAATTATACGTGGCGCTTTATATATAATTGCTCAATTTGCGGGTGCTCTTCTCGGAAGTTTTTTAATTAATGTCATGTTACCTAATACCAATCAAGGCGCCGCTTATAATGCATCTACTGTTTTGGTATTAATTCTTATTTTTTATTAATTGATTTTTAATAGTTTACCTTTTTATAATTATCATTCTTTTTAATTTCAATTTCTCTTTAATTATTAGAATACCGTGTCACCAGCCCAAGGATTCTTTTTAGAAATGTTTGCTACCTCAGTACTAACTAGCGCAGTGTTCTGGCTTGCCACAGAAGAGGCAGGTGGATCCACAGCAGCATTTGGTATTGGAATGGCTTTATTCATTTCCGCAATTGCAAGTATGTATAATTAAATATATTATTTTTGTTTTGCTTGATTTTGCAATGACATGTTATGTATATCCGTACATCATTTATTATTTGTTTTAAAATTTGTGAAACATTTCGGATAAACATGAAAATCCTTTTTTTTTTTAAAAAAAAAAAAAATTGAATTAACCAAATTAATTTGTCTACTTTTTTTTTTTTTTTTCAAAAAATAAAATTAGCTGGTCCATATACTGGAGCAAGGTAAAATCGCATTCCTAAAATATCAAAAAAATTTTCATATATAAAATTAATATTTAATGTATTAACTCACTTTTTTTTTTTAAAAAAAAATTGATAATTTTAGTTTAAATCCTGCCAGAACCTTTGGACCATCAATAGTTTCGGGTAACTATGGTGATAGTTATTGGATTTATTATATTGGACCAATACTTGGTGCACTTTTGGCAGCAGCCTATTGGGGTATATTCACGAAATTAGAATACGAAAAATGTTCACCAGAAAAGAAAACCAAGAAGAAGAAGGATAGTAATAATAATGTGGATGCAAAACGTGAATTTGAATCGAATGAAACTGTTTAGTCCTTATTTGACTTAATTACTTATTTAACCTAATACAATACAATACTACTCTATCTTTTACATATATATTTGTAGATTATATTATTAAATTATGTAATACGGATGTAATGTTTTAATGGCTTTGAACGATATTTTTTATCTTTCCTGTATCTTTATTATATCTTTATTATATCTTTATTACAAATCTCCCTTTTTTTTTTTTGTAATAATTTTTAATTTAACGATTATGTATTAAAAAAGGCAAGAATCATTAAAAAATAATTGAAAAAAAAAAATTACCGTGTATTTGCTCCTAAAAAAACCCAAAAATAATAGACCAAAAAAAGTGATCAATCTAGATCATGATTGGCCGAGAAACAAAGTTATATTTTGCATTTTCAGTAAAGTAATAAGTATACTAAATTTTTAAATTATTTCAATTGACCCGTTTAATAATAGTAATTAGTTAGAACACAAAAAAACAGAACTATCATAAGATTATTTTGTATTGTTCGTTCATTAGTTAATCTTTTTTTATCAGAAATTTTCTTTTTAGTGCTGTGTGTAAAAATGAATTTTAGTGTATTTATTTATTTCTTTATTATTATCTTTATACATTTAGCACAAGTATTTTTTATGTATTATGACGTAGTGTATTACGTAAACAGTTAACATTTATGCAAAAATTAATTGAAAAAAACTATTTTGTAAATGAAAATGAATCTTTGTAAAGGTTTCTGATTTTTACGAGGAACTTACCCTGAATTTTATTTATTTTTTTGGTGAAAATCTACTTGAAACATGAAATTATTCCATATTAGGTTGTCCTGTTAAACAAAAAAATAATACAAAAAAGTATAATAAGTTTATCAATTACATTATTTATATGTTCTTGTGACAATTACTTAAGAAAATTTGAATTATTTCAATCTTTCTTTCTTGGTTATTAATTTAGGTGTATAAAGCACAAATTTTTTATTTATTTATTATTTAAATATTATTCTTTTCATATCTAAATTTCTATATAAATCTTATATATTTCTTTCTATATCAAATCCTTTCTCTTATTCTACTATTCTATCTTTATTCTATTACTTTGTTATTTTTTCTATTACTTTGTTATTTTTGTTATTTAATTTTTTTTTTTTTTTTTTTTTGCGATAAGATATCAACTAGATAAATTTTGGTAAACTTTCGAAATCATTTTTTTTTCTTACCATACAAATAATAAAAAAAATTTTACTCACATATAATGACGGAAGACGTTCTCACTTATGTGACCGAAGTCCTTCAAAATATTATCGATGGAAACCTGGAAAATTACAAAGCTACTCTAAATTATCATACTACAGATCAAAACAATGAAAAAATAAAGCAATTTGATACCGTTTTAAAAAAACTTATAAACAGACAAACTTTTTTGGAAGATGAGGTTGTTCGTTGTCAATCCTTATTAAAAGAAAGTGATTCAGTAGTCATTATAAATGGAACTAATACGAATAGTTCTTTTAGTTCGTTATCTCTTACCCCAGAAGATGATGAGAGTCATTTTACAAAACCAATCATAATAGAAAATAGTAAAATTAATGGAGTTTCAAATCATCATCATCATCACATTAATTATCCCAATTTTTATTCTGGAAATAAAAATGAAAACATTAACAACAGTAATAATGTTTCATCCGATTTATCCGATAATACATCCGATTCTACCTCCGGTACTACACCACCTATTGTATCAGAACATGAAAGTGATAAAATTTGTTTTGATTGTTTAAATCAATGTACTTCAGTTGCATCATCAGTGGCTAGTGGAGATTTCAAGAGAAGAGTTTCTTGTCAATCCCCAACTTGTCCAATGGGTACATTAAAGAATGCCGTAAATAACATGGCGGAAAAAATTGATAGCGTATCAGTTGAATTAATTCATGTAGCACGGGAAGTTGGTGAAGAGGGGAAATTAGGTGTACAAGCCAAATCACAACAATTGGAAGGTTCATGGAGAGAAATGATGGTACATTTAAACATGATGGCAAGTAATCATTCTAAACAAGTTCGTGATATTGCGGAAGTATGTACTGCCGTAGCTCACGGAGATCTCAGTAAAAAAATTACTGTGGAAGTTAAAGGTGAAACTCTTGTACTGAAAAACACAATTAATACTATGGGTAAGTTATTCAAATTTTTTAATTAATTTTTATTAATATATTTATTTTCTTTATTAATATTTTATTATTAATTTAATTTAATTAAATATATATATAAAAAATTTTAATTATTATTTTTTTTTTTTAAGTTGATCAACTGAATTCATTCGCCTCGGAAGTAACCCGTGTAGCTCATGAAGTTGGAACTGAAGGAAAATTGGGTGTACAAGCTCAAGTTCAAGGTGTTGGTGGTACTTGGAAACTTCTCACTGGTTCGTAAATTCCAAAAATATTAATATTAATATAAAATCAAATATATTTTATTAATATTTATTATTAATATTAATATTAAATTATCATGAATTAACATGTATATATATAAGTCGACATAATGTAAATAAAAATTCGTGCAGCTAAACTAACAAAATGTTATAATACAGACAACGTAAATACTATGGCAGCTAATTTAACATCTCAGGTAATTTCTTCTTATTAAATATTAATAAAATATTTTCTTAACATTTTCCGTGATTTCTATTTTATTTAAAAAATTTTTTTTAATAATAAAAATAATTCAAATTATTGATAAATTTAGGTTCGAGATATTGCTGATGTATCCAAAGCCGTAGCTCGAGGAGATCTTAGTAAAAAGATTACAGTTGATGTTAAAGGAGAAATACTTGATTTAAAGAATACCATTAATACTATGGTGGATCAATTACAAACTTTTGCAACAGAAGTAACTCGTGTATCATTGGAAGTAGGAACTGAAGGAAAATTAGGTGGTCAAGCAAATATTAAAGATGTGGGAGGAATATGGAAAGAATTAACAGGTATTTAAGAAATATTATTGATTTAAATTGATAAATTTGATCTTTTACGATTTTATTTTTATTTTTTTATAAATTTATTTAAAAATATTGTTTTTTTTTAAACTTGTTTTTATAGATAATGTAAACATAATGGCTGCTAACTTAACTTCACAGGTATTTATTTAATTTTTTATTATTATTATTATTATTGTAAAATTCTTTTAGATGTTCTCTTGAAAATTAATAATGCATTGACATATTGATGTTTTTTATTTTATTTTATTTTATTTGAAATAGGTTCGTGATATAGCAAATGTTTCCAAAGCTGTTGCTCGTGGAGATTTATCCAGAAAAGTGACGGTTACGGTGCAAGGAGAAATCTTAGAGTTAAAAGTTACCATCAACACTATGGTATGTTTAAATTATATTGTTATGATCATTATATTCTTTTTTTTTAAAAAAAAATTCATTAGTGTAGTGCTAATTTAAATGGTTTAATAATATCAATTCATATATATATAGGTAGAACAACTTCGGATGTTTGCTGCAGAAGTAACTCGGGTTGCGAGGGAAGTAGGAACGGAAGGAATATTAGGAGGACAAGCAGAAGTTCAAGGTGTAGATGGTATTTGGAAGAGTTTAATGGACAACGTAAATACAATGGCTAATAATCTTACAAATCATGTAAGTATCACATCTTTATTCTTTAATGAGATTTAAATATATGCGATACGATACGATAATTATTCATAATAAAAAAAAATTCATATAATAATTAGGTACGAGATATAGCTAATGTGTCTAAAGCTGTGGCTCGTGGTGATTTAAGTAAAAAAATTACAGTTGATGTTAAAGGCGAAATACTTGATTTAAAAAATACCATAAATACTATGGTGGATCAATTACAAACTTTTGCAACAGAAGTAACTAGAGTCTCATTGGAAGTGGGAACTGAAGGAAAATTAGGTGGTCAGGCTGTAGTTAAAGATGTAGGAGGAACTTGGAAAGAATTAACTGGTATGATAATTTTTATATTATTGATGAAATTATTATTGTTTTCTCAGAAAAGATAAAATATATTAACTTTTAAATTAAATTTCTTTTTTTAGATAATGTAAACATTATGGCGGCTAATTTAACATCACAAGTACGAATCCATTTTATCAATTTTAATGCTAAAAATTAAAAAAAATTAAAGAAATTCGAATTATTAATGTTATTATTATTATTGTTATATGAACAAATTATAGGTTCGAGATATAGCTAATGTATCTAAAGCTGTAGCTCGTGGAGATCTCAGTAAAAAGATAACAGTAGATGTTAAAGGAGAAATTTGGGATCTCAAAAATACCATCAATACTATGGTGGATCAACTACAAACTTTTGCTACGGAAGTAACCCGAGTTTCATTGGAAGTAGGTACCGAAGGAAAATTAGGTGGTCAAGCTGTTGTTAGCGGTGTTGAAGGAACATGGAAAGTTTTAACAGGTATCACGTCACGAAAGATTATAATTTTTCTTAAATTTAAAAAATTCAACTGAACTGAACATGATATACTGATAAATTCTTTATGTTAATTTTAGATAATGTAAATATTATGGCACTTAATCTTACGACTCAAGGTGAATTTTTATTCATTTATATATATCTCTTTTTTTTAATATATTTTACATAAACAAAGAACTATTTAATTAATTCACGTTATTTATATTATTTGTATTATTCGTTATAAGTACGTTCAATTGCTGAAGTTACTACAGCTGTAGCATGTGGCGACCTAAGTAAAAAGATCTCAGTTGATGTCAAAGGAGAAATTTTGGATTTAAAGAATACTGTAAACACTATGGTGGATCAGGTACACTTTTTTTTTTTAATTAAAATATATTAAATTATAATTATAGAGATCAAATCAATCGATAAATTTTATTTTTTATTTTTTTTAGTTATCCACTTTTGCTGCCGAAGTAACTCGTGTTGCTAGGGAAGTAGGCACGGAAGGAAAACTTGGGGTACAAGCTCAAGTAAAAGATGTTAAAGGGACATGGAAAGAAATTACCTCTAACGTAAATACTATGGCAGCAAATTTAACTTCCCAAGGTAAAAAAAATTATAAATGATTTTATTTAGTTTTTATTTATGTATATATATATTATATATGTAATATACTAAATTAGGATTCTTTTATTTGGTATAAAAAGTTCGTGCGTTTGCTCAAATTTCAGCTGCAGCTACAGATGGTGATTTCACTCAATTCATTACCGTCGATGCATCAGGTGAAATGGATTCTCTTAAAACTAAGATTAATAAAATGGTATACAATCTTCGAGAAAGTTTTCAAAAGAATACTGCTGCAAGAGAGGCCGCCGAATTGGCCAATAGAAGTAAAAGTGAATTTTTGGCAAATATGTCACACGAGGTAAAAAAAAAATTTTTTTAAGAAAAAAAAAAAAAAAAATTCGGGATAAAAGATAATGAATTTATTAATTAATTTTTTGTTTGTTTATTTCTTAAAGATTCGCACTCCCATGAATGGTATTATTGGAATGACCACTTTAACTCTTGAGACAGAATTAACACGACAACAACGTGAAAATTTAATGATAGTTAGTTCTTTGGCTAATTCTCTATTGACTATTATAGATGATATATTAGATATTTCTAAAAGTAAATTTATTATTATTTTTTTTATTAATCATAGAATAATATTTTTTAATTGTAATATAAATATTTTTTTTTAATTTCAATTAATAGTTGAGGCCGGAAGGATGACGATTGAACAAATTCCGTTCTCCCTACGTTCTGCAGTATTCGGTGTTCTCAAAACTCTTGCCGTGAAAGCAAATCAAAAGAAATTAGATTTAATATATGATGTTGATAATGGAATACCTGATCAATTAATCGGTGATCCTCTTCGTTTACGACAAATTATTACAAATCTTATTGGTAACGCTATTAAATTCACTAATGAAGGTGAAGTCGTTCTTTCTGTGCACAACAAAATAACCAAAGGGGAACCAGTAATATTGGAATTTTGTGTTAGTGATACTGGTATAGGTATTCAAGAAGATAAAATTGATATGATTTTTGATACTTTCTGTCAAGCTGATGGTTCAACCACCCGAAGATTTGGAGGAACTGGGTTAGGATTATCTATATCCAAACGATTGGTTAATTTATTAGGTGGTGATTTATGGGTTAAAAGTGTTTATGGACATGGTTCCGAATTTTATTTCACGGTTAGAGTAACTATTGGTCAAATGAGTCAAGATCACGTTGATCAAAAAATGGCACCATGGCACGGTCGTCATATTTTATTTGTTGACACATTACGTGATACTACAGGAGTAGTTAGAATTATTGAAGAATTAGGACTTCGAGCAAAAATCGCATTTTCGGTAGAAGAAACTGCCATAATAACAGCATCTAGAAAATCAGATACACCACTGTTTGATACAGTAATAGTTGATGATTTAAGTATTGTTGAACGTTTAAGAGAAATTGCACATTTAAGATATATTCCAATTGTCCTTTTAGCACCAATGATACCAAATTTAAATATGAAGAATTGTATAGATCTTGGAATCACATCATATAGTAGTACACCAACGAATATACCAGATTTAATGAATGCATTATTACCAGCACTTGAATCACATGCAGCAGTTCCAAGTGATTTTACAAGACAACAACCATTAGTCATTTTGATGGCAGAGGATAATATTGTAAATCAGAGATTAGCGGTTAAAATATTAGAAAAATTTGGTCATAGAGTAGAAATAGTTCCAAACGGAAAAGCGGCAGTTGAACAATTTAAAGCAAAAAAATATGATTTGGTAAATTTAAATGATATTATTAGTATTATAAAAAAAATTTTTTAAATAATAATAATAATAATTAATTATATATATATATTTTTTTAATATATATATATTAATTATCATTTCTTTTTTTTTTTTTTCATAGATTTTAATGGATGTTCAAATGCCAATAATGGGAGGATTTGAAGCGACTCAAAAAATACGTGAATATGAAAGAGAATTTAGTGGAGGTCGAGTACCAATAATTGCATTGACTGCACATGCGATGATAGGAGATCGAGATAAATGTTTATTATCCGGAATGGACGAATATGTGACGAAACCATTAAGTAAGTAAAAATTGTTATATTTTTTTAAAATAATTCATCAACTCATTAATTTATTAATTTATTAATTAATCAAATTTTTCCATTTTTTTTTTTCAAATTTTCTTTTAGGAATGAACGATTTGATTGCTACAATAAATAAATTTCCGGTAAGGAATCCAATTGAGGAAGCACATAGTCCTGATAGTCGTAATAATTCGCAGGTATGGATGGAAAAAGAATATCGTTTGCTTTTCCATCGTAAATAAAAAAAAAACGGTTAGATAATTTTACTATACGTTTGGCATAATATCATTAACGATCTTTTGTTATTCATTTCACTAATTAATTTATTTATTTTACTTATTTTATTTTGTCAACATTTTTTATTTATTCATTTTCTTTTTTTTTTATTTATTTTTTTTTCCTATAAGTTTAGAAGTCACTGTATATGAAAAATTAGACAAATTAAATTATTAAATAATAATGACTTTTCACTCAACCAAACCAAACGTAGAAAAATGTAGAAAAAAAAAAAAAAGGATGTATGGGAGGAAAGGTTTCATTAAAATTTTTTATCATTTTTGTACTCATATTCATATATACATTATTATACACTTTATTGTACATTTGTTGTCAAAACCTCTATACAATCACATCCATATTTCTATTATAAAATATTATTATTATTATTTTAAATATCCAAATACATATAGGATGATCCTTTATTAATTCACATGTATATATAATATACAATGCTTTAAAAATATTTACAAATACTGTATAATCACATGTATGATAAATTACTTTATATGTGTGTGTATTAAAAATAAATAAATAAACTTTATATAGTTCTTTGACCAATCACGCAACAGTTCGATTAAAAGTATAATTGCTCAATTTATATTTATATTTATAATCAAATATTGTTAATTATTTATTTGTATGATTCGGTTTGAGAATTTGATCAACTTAAAAAATAAAAATTGGTTTTTTTTTTTTTTTTTCATTTTGTTTACCTTGCCTTGCCTTACCTTACCTATCTACTATTTCTTCTTACAGAAACATCAAAAATTCATTAAATATTTAAAAGAATTTAAAGAATTTAAAGAATTTATTACTATATTTTGATAATATAATATAAATAATAAATCAATAATTAAATCATTATAATTAGTAAAAAAAAAAAAAAAAAACCTTCACTCTTTCAGAAATGTGGTGGTGGCAAGGAGTTTCATATTTCATGATAATATTCATTAGTATATTTTTATCTCCAACTCGTACAATGAATAATTTAAAGATAAATCATGGTGATGAATGTCGAGCATCTCAAACCGAGTTATGGCAAAATGTACCTACAGCTTCAACTCCGACCAATACAGCAACTGTAACCAATCATACAATACCAAAAATGACTTGTATCAGAGATATGACAAAAGAATTAAAGTCTAGTAATAATGATAGTGGTGATAGTAGTAGTAGTAGTTGTTGTTGTAATAGTTGTAGTAGAAATAGTGGATCATTATTAACCAAGAACAATAAGGACAAAAAAGACAATAATAAAAACATTAAAAACAATAAAAACAATAAAGACATTTATTATGATGTTAAATCATCTTCTATTAAATCAAATGATAAATTATCATTTGATGAACGAGATATAAGTAATAGTAATAGTAATGGTAATGGTAATGGTAATGGTAATAATAATGGTAATAGTAATTCAGATGCAAAATTAAGACAAAAAAAGAGACCAAATACTCCAGCAAATAATGTTATTGAATCTTTTGATGATGAAGATATTGGTGCAGTATTCGAAAATCCTGATTCAACAGGATTAATTTCAGAATATGAAATTCCTAGTATATCACAATTAAAAGAAAGATTTAATTTTGCTTCATTTGATTGTGGAGCTTCAGTATTAAAGGCTAATAAAGAAGCGAAAGGTACATCCGCAATTCTTTCTGAAAGTAAAGATACTTATGTACTTAATCAATGTTCAGCTACAAAATTTGTTATTGTGGAATTATGTGAAGATATTTTAATTGAATATGTGGCTATCGCAAATTTCGAATTTTTCTCTTCAACATTAAAGGATTTTCGAATTTCAATAAGTGATTGGTATCCTCCTAAAAATGGTTGGACTGTATTAGGACAATATAAAGCAAAGAATTTAAGAGAAATCCAGGTTTGAATTACATTTATTTTTATTTACTTTTACATTATATTATATTTATATTATATATTTATTATTTTCTGATTATTTTTATTTTATTTTTATTTTTATTTTTATTTTTATTATCATTATTATTATTATCATTATCATTATTATTATAATTATAATAGGTATTCAAAGTTTTAAATCCTTTAATGTTTGCTAGATATCTTCGTATTGATTTCTTATCACATTATGGACATCAACATTATTGTCCTGTAAGTTTACTTCGAGTACATGGAACAAATGAATATGAAAAATGGAAAAAAGAACAAGCGGAAATTAGTACACCTCATAATTCTCAACACGTTAATGAAGGAAATGAACAAGTTAAAGAAATTGAAGATGTTCAACAACAATATAAATCTCATATTCAAAATACTCATAATGTAGCAACCAAAATTGTAAAATCAAATGATATTCCAATAATTAAAGAACATCCATTTGAAAATGATAATGATATTCATGGATATGAACAACAACAACAAAATACTGAAATTAATGATGTGAAAAAAACATCCATCATCATCACCACCGCCACTTCCTCCTTCATTAAAAATAATTTCATGTCTTGTCCAATTAAAAAAATTCATCATAAAATTCAATACGAAACTTGTCCACTGAGATGTCCTTTCTATGAAATCCCAAAAAATTTATATCCATTTAGATCAATACTTTCTCCCGGAATTTGTTTAATTGATCAATGTTTAATTGATCCATTCGAATTTCAAATAATACCTAGAATAAAAATGACTAACAATATGAAAAAAAAAAAATCCATTAAAAATTTTAAAAATAAAAAAATAAAAACCAAATCAATCATAATAACCAATACACCTTCAACAAATCAACCCCCTCCCTCAATTTCACAACAAATTCCTAACACACCATTACCACCACAACAACAACCACCAAGTTTTATTCATGCTACTCCAAATGGTGGTGTTAGAACACAAGAAAGTATTTTTAAAACTATTATGAAACGTTTATCTTTACTTGAATCAAATTCAAATTTATCTAAACGATACATTGAAGAACAAAGTAAAATGATTAATGATATAATTTTAATGATTGAATTATCCAAACAACATCAATATTTAACGATAACTAATCAATTTAATGAGACTTTGGATAAATTGGTGAGTTAAAAAAAAAAAAAAAAATACATGATTTTTATGAATGGCCAAAATTTCAAATTAAATTATTTATTATTTTTTTTTTTCAAATTAGAGATCAAATTACGAATCAATGTTAGCGTCATCCTTAATAAATTTAAATAAAAATCAAATACAATTGGATGAGGAATTAAAAGATCTTTATTCTAAGGTTCATATATTAATTAATGAAGTAAGTAGATTATATATTTTTAATTTTTAATTTTTTTTTTTTAATTTTTAATTTTTTAATTTTTTCAAATTATTATTATAATTATTATTTTGTTCTTTGGAAAGAAGAATTATAACCAACAATTTTACAATTTATTTTTTAGGTTATCTTTGCCAAATGGTTGGGATTGATTAGTGTTCTTCTATTAACAGCTTATGTTGTCATAAGTCAAAATTGGTTTAATCTTAAAAGTTCACTGATAACTCTTCATTCTGCAAGAATTATTGAATCGAGATTTATGAAACAAAAAGATCAAAATATTCACAAATTTGGGTTTAATGGTATGTTATTATCATTTATTTTTTATTTATTATTTTTAATTTTTATTAATTTAATTAGTTTCGTTTTTTTTTTTATTAATTTAGAATCAGGCAAAATTCCTGAAACTATTGAGCAAATTCGATTTCCAACTTTTCGATCTAAACACAATTTAAAAAATTCACGAAATTTATTAATTCGTCCTATTCGTCATTAACTTGCTTAACTCATATTCTTAATGAATGAATTTATAAATTTATTATTATAAATTTTTATTTTGAATGATGAATAAATGATGGAGTAGTTGTTGAATAGTTAATTGACTATAGCCAAATTACTTTTAATTAAAAAAAAAATTAATACATCTAACAAAAAAAAAAAAAAAAGATATTATGTAATAGTATAAATTGATTAATTTTTTTTTCTTTGTATCATAACTTCTCCAAGGTGAACAACAATTGATTAATTATTACAACAACAAAAGAACGCACATTTGGGACATTTTGAATATTTTGAATAACTTGTAGATATAGTATTGTTCATTTTATTTTTATTTTTTTGTATTTTTTTTTTTTTTTGTATTTGTACTAAAATTAATTTACCTTCAATTTGAAAAAAACATATATACTATATTTCTTTATTATATTTGTAAAACAGTACAGTATTATATTTGAATATTTCAATTTGAAAGATGAATAAATAAGAAATTAGTGTTATCATTTATTATTATTAATAGAAAGTATTTACCACATTTCATCTTTATTATAAAAAGTTCTTCAGTATCTAAAAAGGAAATATATATTCCTAAAGGTAATTACTGATTAATATTAATATTAATATTTCCCTTTGAAGAAGATCCACCAGATTCAAAAGTATCTAATTTTCAAAAATTTATTATTATTAAAAAATAAATTCTTAATGGGATAAACAAAAAAAAAAAATATTATTAAATACTAACCGCGTAAATAGTAGTTTCTTCTAATATCGGCATAAGATTGTATTACCATTGCAAAATAAATCTGTTGAGATATAAATAAAAGAATTAAGATGTAAGTAAAAGGTATGAGAATTAAGTAAAAAAAAAAATAAAATAAAATGATCAATTCAAAATAATAATTAAAAAAAAAATACATACAGAAGCCAAAACATAAGCAATAGCAGAAATCGTTCCAATTATTACAGAATAAGAATAAGCCTCTTGACATTCAGACGTTGCATCTTGTGATTTATAAGGATAATCTTCAACTATAATCTCATAACATTTTGATTCAAATTCATCTTTGTAACCAAAGTAAATAGCAATATTAACAATTTCTAAAATAGTTAATGTTGCTACAATGATGTAAGCTATAATTGAATAAATTTTCAAAAGTCTGGCTGTTTCCTATTATAGGATACATACATACATAAAAATTATATAAATTTTTTTTGGTAAGAGATTATTATTAATATTTTAAACATTTTTCATTCGTACATACATTTCGGTACATAACGTAAAGACCAAATAAAGCGCTAAAAGACATCAAAAAGCCAATAATCGATACAGGTATGTTATATGCTTTAACATAACTAAAGACTATCTCACGTGACATATTAATATTAAAGAAAAGATTTAGAAGGTTAAATAGAAATTGATAAAGAGATTAAAGAATAGAAAGAAATTGATGACGTAATTTATTTTAATTAACTTACAACTATAATAACTTTCGTTTTCAGTAGAAAAATAGACAATGTTGCTAATTGCAGTGTATAATCCTGAAAACTTTAATTCGTCATAACGATTATTTTTAGGAAAAAAAAAAAAAAAAAAAAAAGAGGATTAAATAATAAATTAATGACTTACAAACCAAACAAAAGATATGAGAATAACTCCGGTTCTTAAGTTAAAACAAAAACAACATTTATTCATATTCATTGTTTTTTGTTTTTTTGCTTGACAAATAATAAATAATAAATAACAAATTAGAAAGATAGATTAAAATATTTAGAACTCTTGTATTTACACGAAAAAGCCACATAAATTGATAGTTTGCTTAGCCATCTCGTCTTATGAAAAGTTAGAATCACATATTTTGCTTTAAATTGAATTAATATTAGTTTAGTAAATTGATTAAATGTAGTGTTTTGGGGGCTCATCACCAGAAACATATTTTTTATTATCATTATTTAAATTACTAGACTGGATATAAAATTTTAAATTTAAATATATTTTATCTCACGTCGTGTATATTTAATTTGCTCTTTTTTTTTTTTTTTTCATCGAGTGGAAGAAAATATAAAATGATATTCACTTTTTTGATAAACTTTAAACTTCGGTTCCAAATTTAATAAACTTTTTATTATGTTACAAATAATTCGATTACATATTAACAACTATTTGATTGATTTAAAGAGAAAAAAAAAATTTAGAATTTTTATAATGAAAGAAGTTTAATTTTTTTACTACGCTTGTTAATCAAATCCGTTATCCATTATCCATTATTCATTATCGTTCTTTATTTTCATTATTGTTCTTTTCATCCATTATTCATTATCCTTTATTTCCTTTATTTCAAATTTATATCTTAACAAAAATATATACGAAAAACTTACTATTTGAATTAATTAATGAAATATTTATCAATAATACATATATATATAAATAAATCATGAATGAATTAATCCAATTTATGCCTCGATGTAGTAATATAGCCAAAAGATTAAAAGAAAATAATGAAGAAAATTTACAATTCGAAATTAATTGTACAAAGAATAATAGTAATGAAAATGGTGATAATTATAGAAAATTTTGTGGCCTAGCACGTAGAACTAAAAAACCAAAAAATCCAATGATTAAAGAAATTGATAATAATAATAATAATAATAATAAAGGAATTAATAATTATTATTATAAGAATTCATCACCACCCATTATTAGAACTAAATCGAAAATTTCCCTTGAGTATAAAAAATACAGAGTAAAAAGGAATGAACTTTATTGTATAAGACAGAAGCATCGGCAGCATAATACGAATAAGAATTTCAATACTAAAAAAAAATTTAATTCTTTAATTTTGAAAAATACGAAAACGTTTTGTGAGATAAGACCAAATTTAAATTTGGTAGAGGAAAGTGATTCAGGAGAATCAACGATTAATGAACAACAATATATAAAATATTTGGATAATTCTAAACGAAGAAAAAGAAAAAGGTTAATGAATGATATGTATTCTCAACATTCCGAAGGCAGTAACGCTTCTGTTGTTGTTGTAAATATTGAAGGTGATGATTTTCATTCTTCGGAATTGAGGATATTGAATGAATTGAGAAAAAAATGGGAAAAAATCCAGCAAACTCGAGCAAAGAATAATCAAAGCGTTATTGCCATAGGAAGAAAAGAAGACTGTCGAAAGATACTTGATTCAAATGAAGCAAAATTATTTTGGAAAAATAGGGGCAATAATAATAATAATAATAATAATAATAATAATAATAATGGTGAATTAAATGAATTTAATGGGGCATTCGTATCATTTAATGACAATATAATTCTACAAAGGTAATAATTCTTATAATAATTTCTATTTTACATTAAAACATTCACCTTAATATAAAATTAATAAAAATTTTTCATAGGAATGATCGAACAAATGAAAAGTCATTAACTTTATACTCAAGATCAATTGGTGGAAAGACTATTCCTCATTCAGGAAATAAGGATGAAACTGATAAAAATGATGAATTAAAATCTGATGATTCATCATTTGATGTGAAAGAATCAGATTCTTTGAATTCATTTAATATTGATTATAATGATTCCAAATGTTATTCAAAATCTTCAGAATCTCAAGACTCAACAGATGATGATTTAGAAGAAGTCAATTTTTCTCAAGATGGAAACTCTGAATGTATTTCTGAAGACGAAGAGGAAATATTACTAGAAAGTACTTCCTTAAATTCGGCATTTCCAATCAGAGAAAAAAGTACTACCATTAACTTTTCACCATATGTAACCGGATTTCATACGGGAGGAAAGGAATCTTCTGCATTAAAACAATGTTATGAAGATTTTATAAAAAATGTACCTCAATTTCTAGTAAATGATGAGGATGATGAGATGGTAGAAGCTGAGAATTCAACATATTTCAGACAATAAATCAATTGATGATCTTCCCGAGACCGATAATAATTTTAACAATCAAATCAATAAAGATAATATCAATGATGATGAAGATTGGGAGACGATAGAAGAAACAGTAATTTTGACCAGCGAAAGCTGGGAAGAACCGGATGAACTCTATACTGAGGATGAAGAAGAAATAATTTTGCTTACAAGTGAAGGATGGAGAAATAACAGCGAGGAATCGATGGAATCAATTGATCTTGTCAAAATCTAATAATTAATTACTCGGAGATACTATTAATAATGATCAAAATACTCATTAATACCTTTAAATGACCCTTTATAAGACTTAATTAATGTTAATAATCAAATACTGTATATGTATATGAAGAGAAGAGATAATTGATAATTTCTTTTAAACATGAGAGATATTTTTTTGTAAGCTTTCTAAAATTTTGCCAACTAATATAACTAAATAATTAATATAAGCAATAAATGCGATTCATTAATTGCTTTAATATTATGATATCAATTATTTATTAGGTTGTAGCTAAGTTTATTAATTAGCATTCAGTTCAGTATTTTCTTTTAAATACATTAATGAATAAATGTAAAATTATTTTTAGATTCTGGATTTTGATGAAAATAATTCTTGTTTTTGAAATTTGATTGCTTTTTCTTAAATTGAAAAGTAAACAATGTGGATAATTTTTTTTTTTACCTTCTTGACCTTGTTTCTTGTTAAACAAACACATTCTAAATATTAATTCCCTCCTAGAAACTTCTTTCTTCTCATCAAAATACAAAGTGATCTGTGTTTTCTCTATTTGAACTTGTTTTACTCTAACCTTTTCATTTTTATTACTTTGATCTATTCTTCCTAATTCCTAAAGAATTTCCTTTCTTCCTAATTTTTGATTAAAACAAAATTTCTCTCATCTCTAAGTCGATTCCGTGATAAAATTGATCAATAAAATGGTCAATGTATTATTCTTTGTTTTATTTATACTTACTTATGAAAGGTGATGATTATAAAAGATAATAATAAATACATGACATTATAGTCATGTAATTTTATTTTGTATTATAAATACACATTATCATAAAAATTCTTTTGTTCTAAAAAAATTATTTACATTTTAGTTTTCTTTATTGATAACAATAACAATATTATTATTTTTAATAGAAAGAACATACATTTGTGATGTGAAGATACATTTCTAAGTTCATCATATGTAATTTTTAACATTTTAAGTAAAAAGTTCTTTCATCCTCTGTAAGAGATGAATCATTTTCAAAACATATTTTTTTAGATATTCTTCTTGCTTAGTAATTGTTTTATAAAATATTGGCCTTTTGATTTCCCATTCCATTCAATTTTTTGAGCAGCCATTTCTTATTTTATTATCGTAGAATAGATTTTTGGACCTAATGCTTTGTCCATTTCTGGAAAGTCAGATGTGTCGCAAATGTAAAAAAAAATGTAAAACAGATATTCAAAACATTATACTCTTTTTTGGTAAGAAAATATTGCCAAAAAGGATCAAAAATATAGGTTTTTTTGTACCTTCTAGCCATTATTTTTTTTAGAGTAACCACCCCACTGACAGTTCAGTGAGATATACATGTACATGAAAAGATTGAAAAATTCGTGAGTAATTATTATTTTGTTAATAATAATTTGTAAACATGAAAAAAATAATAAAGTTTATGGTTGTTTTTGGCCATCTCCGTACGTTAGGTAGATTAAAAAAAAAAATAATAATTTTTTAGTTTTTCATTCAGAACATTGGAGAACACATGAAAATAATCAAAATAATCAATAATAAATATTTGATTAATAATTATTAAATAACTGTATACATTTACTATGTAATTTTTAATGGAAATAAAAAGAAGATTTCGTTTAAAAAAAAATAATTAAATTTTTATTACCTTCATGTCTATGGGTTCAATGATTACTTTAGAACCACCTTAAAGATAAAGTGTTTATCTCTTCACGAAAATAAAATTTTCTAAGGGATATTTAAGAAAAGTTCACTATTAATTTATCTCCTCCATCATTACAACCTCCTCTAGTTCCGCCATGACTTCCCTAATAAAAATACTTACTGAATGGCATTATTATTATTATTCTATTCCAATCAATTTAATAAATATAAATTAAAAAATTCCAACAAAAGATTATAGATCTATTTTTGTTTTTTATGTATTGTGTATTGTGCATAGTATTATTATTAATTAATCAAAAAATAAAATAACAATTAAATTGAAAAATTATAAAAATGTCTAAGAATCAACTTGAACGAATTTTTTGTAGTAATAAAAATTAAAGAATTAAAAATGGTTGCCATTAATACAATTAATAAATTCATCGAAATACTCACAAAACTCACTGAAATTTATTCTTTAAAAGAAATATTTGCAGTTAAAAATCATTGCAACAAAAATTTTAGAAATAAATTATAATAATAATAATTAATCTTTGAATATTCAAATTTCAAAAATTAAAAAAATTTTGACATTATCAATTCATTTTTTATGACCTTTTCAATATTAAATTATTAAATTATTTTTTATTATGATAATTTTGAGTTTTTGTTATATTCATATTCAAAATAAAAAAGAAAGGCCATAAAATAAAAGTACAAAGTTGAAAAATACAAACCAATCCTTACTCTCATCACAAAGAATCATCACAACTTCTATCACTTCTTGTCAAAATTTCACCACCACAAAAAAGAACCTTGAAGAAATAATAACAGAACAAAGTTGCAAAATACAAACCTATCCCTTTCGTCACAAAGAATTATAATGACTTTCATCACTTCTTTTATCAGAAATTTCACCATCACAAAAAAAGAATCTTGGAGAAATAGTAAAATAACAACAAATAAACACTACACTATTCTATTTTTCACTTTATAAATACAAATATTTTTCATTAAATATATTTTTATTTTAATAACCATTTTAATAAATCAATAATATCTGAGGAAATGGTTTCTTTTAAGGCTTTAAATCATTGGCAACTCTCAATATCTTTCTTGTGACTTAGTAAAAGCTTGGCATAATATATTTTCTAAATAATAAAATAAAAAATAAAAATTAAAAAATAAATAAAAAATAAAAAAAAATTAAAAATTAAAATTAAAATTAAAATAAAAAATAAAAAATAAAAAAATAAAAAATAAAAAAAAAGCAAAAAATAAAAAAATAAATTAAAAAATAAAAAAATAAAAAAAAAAAAATATAAGAAATATTATAAAGGTAAAAAAGACAATAATTTATCAAATTAATTAATTAACTAAACTACAAAATCAATAACTAATTAAACAAAAATTTATCAACTAAATTTATCAATTAGTTAATTCTAAATCTAAAATCTACATTCCATAATAATTTCCTTTTCATTCAATAATTGATCATTTTATTAAAACTCTTTAAATCAATTAAATCAATTAATTAAAATAATTAAAAATAAGAATTAATAAATTTAAATACATTTAAAATAAATAAAATCAATAAATCATATTATCCCATAACAACATCATACCATACTCACTTCCACTCTCACTCAACTCACATATACATTTCCATACACTATACATTTATATACAGGATATTGCCTTGAAAGTGAAATAATATATCACACATTCCTAACAATAAGAAATATTAAATTAATCTCAATCAAATAATATAAATATATAATATATAAATATATATAATTACCATATAATTGACCGAAATTCACAATTTTATTTTATCAATTGATAATCTTTCCTCCCTCCTTCTTTATCAAATTTGTTAAGAAAATATCATTGATAGTATTATTCTCATCATTCTCACCAATAATCCTAATTAAATTACGATTAATAAAAAATTGATTAAAAAAGAATTCAATATCAAAATTAAAAATGTAAATTTTACATCTTAAATACATTTCTATCGTATTTCATATGAAGAGATTTTTAACTTCCGATGAAGAAGATCATTCATCGACAGATCAAATTCAACTGATAAAACCAAGAATTGACTTGGTGCCATATTCATTTAATCGATTATTACATCGATTAATTGTTCCTTTATAAAATATATGCATTTTAGAAATATTAATATAATTATACTCTAATGTTAACATACTCTAAAATACTTCGATTAACATCATCATAGTATATGCAGGGATAAATTACCCTCAAAATTGATTAAAAAATGTGCACGTACAAACATGATTAACTATCCATGATATTGTGACACAAGATGAAATACAAATTAAATCTGTTTAACCAGAAAATTCCTAAAGTTACTAAATTTCGGTCATGACAAATATAATTAAGGAATTGTACTACTTTTTAAAAAAATCTTAAACAATAAATATAAAAATTTATTGATACACAAATTTTATTTAATTAAAAAAATAAACTTCCATCTTACGTACAATAAGCGAACAGAAAATGTCTGAAATATGCAAAGAATGCAATGAAAAACATAACAATATATGGTGGTGCAAACCGTGCATCTCAAAACATTTTAAAAATGATTTTGATAAATGGACTAGTGGAAATGATACAATAAATAAACTTATTCAAGATACTCAACTTAATGCTAATTGGTATAAATATATAGAATTGATACCTTATGATAAATTCCAAGATATTAAACAAATAGCAAAAGGTGGTTATGGTACTATTTATTATGCTAAGTGGATTGATGGATATATTATCAATTGGGATATTAAAAATCAACAATGGGAAAGAGATGGTCAACGTGAAGTGGCGTTAAAAAGGTTTGATGATATTGTAGATATAAATGATGATTTTTTAAATGGGGTAAAAGTAATATTTTAAATTTATTTGAAAATATATAATATATTAATTATAATTTAAAAATATGTTATTTAGATGACAATTCTCTTGAGAACGAATGGTGGAGGGTCATCAGCCTATCTTTATGGAATTACAAGAGATCCAGAAACTCACGAATATATGATGGTTTTAGGTTATTATAAAGATGGAAGTCTTAGAAATTATTTAAATAATAATTTTAATAATATCAATTGGGAAAATAAATTAGAACATTTAAAATATTTAGCTAAAAAATTTTCAAAAATTCATAAATTAGACATAGTTCATCGTGATTTTCATCCCGGAAATATTTTAAAAGGGATTGGTTTATATATAACAGATTTTGGATTGAGTAAATTAATTACAGCAAACATAAAAAATCTTCAAAGAATACCATTTCTGGAGTATTACCCTATATAGCTCCTGAAGTATTAATTGGGGGAGAATATACAAAAGCCGCTGATGTTTATTCATTTGCATTTGTTGCTTATGAAATCATCACTGGAATTCCTCCATATCATGATGTGCCACATGATAAAGATTTGGCTTTTAATGTATGTAATGGATTTCGACCAAAAATTCCATTTCACATGCCTAAATTAATTACACAAATAATTATGAGATGTTGGGATGCCCGAATTACACATCGACCCACTTTTGATGAATTATATACAGAGTTGGTTAAATACTATTTGGATTATTATGATAATAGTAATAGTGAAGAAATTACAATCCAGATTAAAGAAGCTGAAGAATTTTCCAAATATCAAATAACAACTGATACAACAATTACAACTCCAATGAATTATAAAACACATCCGCAAGCAATTTATACCAGTCGACTTCTCAATTTTTCAAATCTTCAAAAACCTAAAAATAAAGAAAATTTCGAAAAGAAACTTGAAGAATTAACAAAATCTTTTTATCAAATAAATTCTAGTAAGTATCATTTATATATTCATTTTCGATCTATAATTAATTTTCTTTTTCTTTTTTTTAATCAGGCGATGATGATGGTGATGATAAATGATACATCTAATTTATACATTTTGTGATTTATAAAAATTCGTTTGTATTTCGTTCACGTTCATTACAGTCATGTGCGTAATTTGACTGGCATCCTATAATAATATAAAAAATAACGATAAAAAAAATGGAAAAGTAAATGATATTGATTATTGAATAATTATTAATTTATTGAAAAAGAATAAACAGATACTGTATAATACTTTATTTAAAAAATATGTCTTGAAACTTGATAATCATTGTGTCTTCATCCAAACTCTCTGGATATAAAACCCTTCTGCAATTTTTGGACTTTTTTTCAATTCGCTGCGAATATCAATAATAGCTTTACTCTTTGCACGCTTAGTAATCTCGTTACTGTTTTTCACATCTTTCCCTCTCTTAAGATTTCGATTGCCTATCTACATAGAAGTTGATATATCTATCACATTCAAAAGTAGCACCTACATCACATGATAAAAATAAAAAAATATCCTAACTGACGTTGTCCACTCTCACCCATACACACCATTCCATACACTATACAGGATATCGCGAAAGTGAAGTAATATATCACACATTCCTAATATTAAATTAAATAATATAAATATATATAATGTATAATTACCATATAAATGACCGAAATTCACAATTCTGTTTTATCAATTGATAATCTTTTCTATTCTCTCCTCTCCTCCTTCTTTATCAAATTTGTTGTTAAGAAAATTATCATCGATATTATTATTCTCATAATTCTAAAAAAGAATTCAATATCAAAATTAATTCTGTAAAATTTTTATATCTTAAATTGATGATGATGGAGAAGATGCAAATCAGATTCAACTGATAAAACCTAGAATTTTGTGCCAAATTCATTTAATCAATTCATTACATCAGTAAATTTTTTTAGGCGTAAATTTTCGAAATATTACGTAAATATTTCGGGAATTTACGTCTAAAAAATCCGTTTTTTGACTTCGCTCGTGATTTACATGACAGGGAGTGATTTTTGCTAATGTATTTCTAAAATGGATTGAAAGTCCTAGTTCCTGACTACATGTTGATATGTGTTTTTATTTCTATAGCATCGATATTCATCGAAATATTTACAAAAAATTTTCGTAAGTGTCGTAAAATCACGTCAAAATGTTTTTGTGAATATCTCGATGAATATCAAAGCTATAGGAATAAAACATATATTAATATGTAGCCAGGAGCCAGGGCTTACGATCCAGATTAGAAATACCTTAATAGAAAATCGCTCCCTATTACGTAAATCGTGAGCGAAGTCAAAAACGGATTTTTTTTTTTTTGTAAATGGTGTAAAATTTCCTGTTCATCAGTTTCACCTCTATAAAATATATACATTTTAGAAATATTAATATAATTATACCCTAATATACTTAAATAAACACTAAATACAGTATATACAGTTAAATATAATGACATTATGACACATATGATAAATACAAATTAATTTAATTTATGGCGTGATTTAACTAGAAAATTCCTAAAGTACTAAATTTCGGTCATCTAGAATGACAATTCTGATTGACAAATATAATTAAGTAATAGTACTACTACCTTTTTCATTTCGATAAATATAAAAATTTATTGATACACAAATTTATTTATTTTTTCATCTAATCGGCGTAATGGAAGAGGAATTCCACATGCATAAAAAGAAATTTCTTATCTATTCTATATTTGATATGCAATAAATGAAAGTATTTAATATATACCTTCTTTCCTTTAATCTTTTGCAGTTTTATAAGTTCCTTTAAAAAAAAAAAGAAAGTGAGTTATTCTAAATATCTCTCGATTACTTACTAAATTTAAAAAATTCTATGTAAATAATTGCCTTTCAGAAAACAAGTTCTATATCAAAATAAGAATTATGTACAATGATCGTAGAATTAAAGAATTAGAGCGTGCTACAAGGGAAACTAACGTAAGGATGAAGGATGTGGTTGAATTATCAAGCGCAAAGAAGTTAAAGCGCGTGATGATAAAGTACTTAAAGAATTTATAGATTTAGACAAATATCAACAAAAAGGTGATAAAAGGACGCAAAACGGTGATAGCAAGACGCGAAATCGAAGATAATTATACTTCGAATCTTTTTTATTTTCCTTTTTATATTCAGTTAGTATTTCTTTTCTATAACTACTTTATCTTTTTTTTTCTTTAAATTCTGTATTGTTTTACAATTTATATTCCTTTACATATGTATAATGGTTTAAATAAAATATTATTTTATTAAAATTCTTAATGTCTAGAAGACAATTTGCTACCTTTATCTTTCTTATGATTTGCGATTTTTCATTATAATATTCATAATATCGTTTGAAAGGTTAAGTAATAGCTTGATAGTTTACCTAGCATCGAGTTATGCTTGTTAAACGTGTTGATGTATCAATATTTTTGTCAAAAGTTGTGTGACGCTTGTTTGAGAGTTTTGAGCCTTTTTGTTTCTTTCTTGATTAGTTTATATATCTGTCACAAGTTACTTAAGTCCTTCAGAAGCCCACCCTCCTCTCTTAGAATCAAAGTAAAAAAATTGGTCTAATTCACATGATCATGGGAGCTTATCTAAATTAAATATCTGCAGATGAAAGAGTATGATCAGACGATAGAAAAAAAAAAAAAGATGGCCAGTTTTGTAAAATTTGATCTTTTGAAAATGCCAAATTATTTACTTTTAACTAATCCAAATTCAAGTGATTTTTGTAATAATTCTTTGTTTTCTAAGCTCATTTCTGTGAAAACTTTTACAATAATGAAGTAAGAGTAGTGATTCATTTCCATAATATTACATAAGGAATGACTGCATAACAAGAGGCGCTGAAAATCTTAGATCATTATATCATTTTATTGTGAAGATTTTCACTGCAATTTGTAATGTACAAAGTGGAGAGGAACACTCGGATTTGGAATCGAATTTTATAGAGCCGGAACGCAAGTATTGAGAAAGAATCATTTTCTATCATTTGATGTGTGAGCGATGGATACATGTAGATAGGTTGGATTGGGCTATAGAACTCTTAAGAGATGGTAAGCATGTGGCAGAACATAGTAATAGATTTGAATCTATTGATGAATATAAAGAAATTACTAATTATGCAAAAATCGTAGATATAATTGATAGTTCGAAATCTGCGAAGATTATCATTCATTAAAATAGAGAGTTTGGCACGAAGACATGGTGATTATCAAGTTTCAAGTTTAGATATTGTGTATTTTTTAAATAAAGAATTATACAGTATGTATCTGTTTATTATTTTTCAATTGAGAATACATATTATAATTAAAAAATCGATGATAGAATAGCAAGTTAAAAGGGATTAATTTAACCTATAAAATGAAAGTTTCTGTATTATTTTGTTTGCTATCTATCCAAACATCTATTTTATTTAATATTCTATCTCTCAAATCATTATTATTATTATTATTATTATAAAAATTTTTATTGCTTCCTTACTAATCTTCACATCCCAAGATCAAGAATTTCAACAGATACTATGATTTATAATTTAATCATGGTGGAATAACTGATAAAGTAAATATTATGAACCACGAATTCAAATAATTGCAACTATTAACTATTATCATCATTATTAATTAGCATTATTATTAGCATTAGTTCATTCATTAATTTAAAGAGAGAAAAGAAATTTATTGGTAATTAGATAAATAGTATATTATTAAACATTGAAATAATTTACGATGAAATATTTAAAGAAAAAAATACACGAAGAAATAATTTACGAAAAATTACAAGACATTAATAAGATTATAACCGCATCCTCCAGTATTAGTACCAAAATATTTTAATCCAATTCTAATATATAATCCACCATCTTTAACTTCAATATCATTATAATCAGTTATTTCTTCATCAAATATAAGATAAATATTTTTAGTTTCTACCGCTTCAATAAATCCTTCTCTAACTAAATCATCATCTTTAGTTAATTTAACGATATATCCAATTAATGAATTATAATAATCAAAAGTTGTTTCTCCCAATCTACCTGAAACCCATTTTCCGTCATCATCAGAATTCTTTTTAGCTGTTTCATAAATATTATCAAAATCAACGACAAATTCAATATCTTCTCCAGTTGCTTCTTTTAATTTTTTCTTTAAGGCGGGAATTTTAGTATCCCAACCATCACGAATATTTACCTTTGTTCTTAATGGTAAAACTGAATTTGGTGCGTGAAGTTTATCAACTAAATCATATCCTGGACTAGCATTAGTTCCCAAATATTTAGGTGGAACTTTAATATAAAGTTTACCATTATTAATTTCAATTTGATTATATTCATCGATTTCGTCATCAGTAATTAAACATAAAGTTTTAGCATGAGTTAATTCAATAAATTCTTGACGAACTAAATCATCCTTTTTAGTATATCGTTCAATATATCCCACTAATGAATCAAAATATTGATAAGTCATACTTCCTAATCTATCTTTATACCATTGAGCTTGATCTTCATTAGCTTTGATAGCTAACATAAAAATATCTTCAAAATCAATTTCAAATTCATAATTTTCTCCAGTTGCCGCTTTTAATTTTTTCTTTAAGGCAGGAATTTTAGTTTCCCATTCATCTCTAATATCTTTCTTGGTTTTTAATGGAAGTGTAGATTCCGGAACTTTAATAACATCAATTAAATTATATCCGATTGATGAACTATTTGTACCTAACGTGGTTCGTTTAACTTTAATAAAAAGTGTACCATCTTTAACTTCAGTTACATTATATTCTTCAATTTCGTCATCAATTACGAAATTAAATTTTCTGGTTGAAGTAGTAATAAGAAATTCTGATCTAACCAAATCATCTTTTTGAGTATAATTCTTGATGTAATTAATTAACGAATCAAAATAACCATAAACGATTTCACCTAATCTACCAGTATACCAATCAATATTAGATTCATTTTCTGGAGCGGAAATGACTTCAGTATAAAGTTCTTCAAAATTTACTACAAATTCATAATTTTCACCAACAGCTTGTTTTAAAATTTTTTTAAGATTAGGTAATTTTAATTCCCATTCATCACGAATATTTTTTTTAGCTTTTACGGGTAAAACTTCATCTTTAGATTTTAAAACGTCAATTAAATTATATCCAACTCCACTAATGTTAGTACCAAAACATGAAGGTTTAATTTTAATAAAAATAATTCCATCAACAACTTCAACTTTATTATAACCTTCTTCCATTTCTTCATCATGAAGAAGTTGAATTTCTTTCTTATCGGTTAATTTAATAAAATTTGTACAAACCAAATCATCATTAATGGTATAATTTTTAATGTAACCCACCAATGAATCAAAATATTGGAAAGTGAAAGAACCCAAATTATTATTTATCCAATCTTTATTATCGGGAGATGCTTTAACTTCATCATCATAAAGCGTACTAAGATCTACAGTAAATTCGTAATCAGATCCAGTAACGGAATTTAAAGTTTTAACGAGTTGAGGGATTTTATTAGTAAGTTCATCTCGAATATTTTTTCTAGCAGCAAGAGAGAGACCTTTGGTAGTGATAGGCATGATTTTTTATAATTATTCGTAAAGAAATGAATACGGAAGTGAAAAAAATTTGGTGATTCAACTCTTGAACTAAAGATTTTATTGATTCTTTTATACGCGAAAAAAATTTTTTTAATCACTTCAACTTCATTATTTTTTTACTTATCTTAAATTATTGAATTATTTACAGTTTCAAGTTTTAATAATAACAAAAAACATTAATGCGAATTAATTTCATTTAATTTCGCACCAATAATTCTTTCAATTATTTTATAAATTGAGATCTTATTACATAATTATCTTAAAACTTATAATAAACTGTTAATGCATACATGAGTATCACAAGTACACGAGGAAATTATTAATTAATTGAGATTCATTTACGGTAGATCCATTTAGATACGATACGATTGTTATACATAATTTATTTTGTTTTTATTTTGTGTAAACTAACTTATTTAGTAAATAAACAATTATCTCATCGCAAGTATTAAAGCACTTTTAGGTACAGAATTCCGGAATTTTTTATTACCCAATAACATGTAATTATTTGACACCATGCTAACCTTATTCATATGAACAGAGCAGAGTAATTTGTGTACGAAAGAAAATTCTATTCAAGAGTTAGGAAATAAGGAAATAAGATTATCAAAGAATGGATACCTTATGATAAATTTCAAGATATCAAGCCATTATCATTATAACTAATATTTTAAAAATGTAAAGAATAAAATTAATAATACTTTATTTATTTTATTATTTCTTTATTTCATTAATGTAATATTTAAGAATTTATAATCAAATGTTGTGTATGTATATAGACATTATTATTAATAATTTCTGGATTTGGAAGCGAGATTTTATATGATTTTCCTTTTATTTCACATAATAGAATTAGAAAAACAATGATGGCTAAAAATATTCAATAAAGTAACGAATATTTCTTTTTATTTTCCATGTATCAAGAAATAGAAATAAAAGTATTGTCCAGCTGGTTATTTTTTTTAACAAAATTTATAATTAACGCTTTAATTTCGATAGTGGATAATTGAGAGCATTAAAGAACATTTAAGTCAAGAGTTCGGAGTTTGATCTAGTAAAAAAATGTCGAAATTGACAAGAATCTCATCCGAATATTTTATACAATGGATATAAATAACAGATGAGGATACGGATCTGATATTAAAAAATGGTAGTGGAATTTTAATAATTTTAATAAACAGGATAGGATACATAATTTTGTAAGTAATAAATTTACTTTTAAAGAAAAAAATTTGAATTTCTTAAAGAAATGTGTCTCTTTTTTATTTATATGAAATTAATTGATTACTTTATTTTATTATATTTAGGGTTAAGAATCTAGTGATAATATTCTAACCACGAGATGTTTTCATCACTGTTATACATAAATTTTTTAAAAAAAAAATTTTTGACATATTAAATGTATAAGGATATAACTTTTGATTGGCTATATAAATTTTATTATATGAACATATTTTTTACGCGTTTCCTTACTTACTACAGAGGTAGAAAAGAAAATAAATTCGAATATACAGCTTATGCAAAATTTACAAATATAATTCTACAGAATGCAATTAAAATTCCTCAATATATTATTATGATCCAACTGCCATGAATTACATAATAATAAAATAGAAGATAATATTTTTCGACAATATCAAAAAATAAAAATAAAAAAATTCTAATATTTTATTTCTATTTTAGGAGTTAATTTTCTAAATTATACTTTTATTTTGATTTTAAGAGTGTTTTATTTATGATTTTCAACTATTTTATACGTATATTTATTTTCAATAAGAATCAACTTTTAAATTTCGGGAATATAATTGATAATGTTCATAACGTTTATATAATATTTTTTTTTTTATAATAAAACATTTTTTTGAAAATAAGAATACGCGTTGTAGATCAAATTAGCAATAATAATTCCCATTTGACTTTTCTCTTTTTTTTTTCTTGTTTTCTTTTTTTAATATAATAATAAGAATAATAACTATAACGAAAATAACGATAATAATAATAACATTAATAATGATAATAACAATAATAATAATGGATATCGAAGGAAATATCCGTGTTTTTATTTTTTATCAACACCATAATCTACCAAAACGACAACAGTAGAATAAATAACGGGAACAACAGGTCCAAGTGGCAAAAGAATTTACCAGCGTATCTCAATGACAATGAAATTTATGGACTAAGAAAAAAAGAGCAAAAAATAATAATGCATATATATATAATAAAATAAATATAAAATAAATAAAAAATTTATATAAAAAATTTTAAAAAAATAATTAAAGTAATTAAAAGTAAATAAAAATAATAAAACTATAAAAATAAAATATAAAATACGGAGATAAGTGGTAAGTTCCTTAATATTTGGAAGGTGGAAAATTAGATGAGGAGAAGCATGAAAATAAAGGGAGGAAGTTAGAAATGTGAAAATTAAAGTAAAAAGAAAGTATCTTAACTGATGATTTAAAGAATATTTTAAGTTAAATTTGAAAAAAGTAATTAAGTTGATAGAAAAGAAACGATTTAAAGCCAATGAAAGAAACTAAAACCAATATAATATTAACCTACTTTTTGAATTTTCACTAGGAAATGTAGTAGACTATATGTTCTTAAAAAAATTATTTTAATGAAATGCATGAACAGAAAAGGAAATTTAATGATAATGTATAATCAAAGCATAACACTACATCAGAGAAGACCCTAATATTTAACTTTTGGTTAAAAAAATTATTTTATTTTATTTTATTTAGGTCATATACTTTATATGGCAGATTGACTACCGATTTCTGTTAACATCATCTTGAATTATTTATAATTTAAAATTTTAATAATAACAATGATTAATTTTACAAATTGAAATCTTCAGTGAGATATAAAAACATTTGTAAATATAAAACATAAAAAACATATCGTCACTTCAAGAGATTTAATTAGTTGAGATTAAGGAATTTTTTGTGGATGAATTTTGAAGAATGTTAAAACTTTTAAGTCATTCTAAATGAACTAATATTATACTGCATAAACTTTACTACCGTATAACAGATAATTGATAATAATTATAATAATGAATTATTCTTAATTCCCTTTTTGGGAAAAGAATGCAGCTTTTTCCTATTTAAGGGAATTGATCCGCATATTAAACGCACGCACGTGTTATTTAATAAAATAAATTTCATACTCTATATACTGTACTTAGTGACAAGATTTTATTATATAATAAAAATTAACAAATAGTGTTTTATAATTAAATAGGATACAAATAGAAAATATATAACGTTAAATAAATTTTATCTCACCTATTAAAAAAATAATAAAAAATAAATTAATTATGATGAATATGATATAAGATATAATTGATACTTACTAGAATTTATTTGATAAAAATATTTTGTTAAATATTCATCATTTTTAGGTTTGGAAGATATGAAAAATTGAGAAGTCTACTAGTATAAATGTGAATGTGTTTTATAATTTGTTGGAATTGTGGTTGTATCTGTTGTTGTTTGATTTGCAGATAATTCTTAATTTGAATTATAATTTTATTATTATTTTCGAATTTATTTTCACAATAAGCATAATAGTATTTTTTTAACTCTTTATATAATTCTTCAAAAGTGTATTGATGTGTAATTTGAGCATAATTATCTGTGTAATTAATTTAAGTGTGTGAAATGGAATTTTTGGTAAATATCCATTACATATTTTAAAAGCCAAATCTTTATCATGCGACACATAATGGAGGAAGTCTAGTGATCATTTCATAATAAGCAACAAATGCAAATGAATAAAAGTTAGTGAGTTTTTACATTTTCTGTAATTAATTTACTCAATCTAAAATTTGATATAATAGTATAATCAAAATCATATTTTAAATATTTCTGGATCTAATTTATGAATTTCTGTAAAATGATTAGCTAACTTTTTAAAAAGTACCCAATTAATATTATTAAAATTATTATTTAAATAATTTCTAAACTTCCACCTTTATAATAATGTAACATCATTATATATTCGTGAGTTTCTGGATCTTTTGTAATTCCTTAAAATGGAACTGATGAAGCATTATAGTGTAAAATTCCATATTAATTGTTAACATATTACTTTACCTCATTTAAAAAATCTTTATTTATATCTACAATACCATAAAACTTCTTAATACTATTTCAAATTGACCATTTCTATACCATTGTTGATTTTTAATATCCCAACTATAAATACGTCCATCGACCAAAAAGCATAATAAACAGGACCATAACCACCTTTTACTATTTGTTTAATATCTTGAAATCTATCATAAGGTATCCATTCGATTACGTTATAATTGAAATTAGCATTTAGTTGAGCATCTTTGAATAAATTTATATATTATGGCATTTCCGCTTGTACATTATCAAAACCATTTTAAAATGTGTTAGGTTGCACGTTTTGCACCACCATTTATATTCTTGATTATATTCTTGATTGCATTCTGAGCATCCTAGGCATTTTCTGTGTAAGGTAGGTAGAAATTTTTTTTTTTAAAAAAAAAAATAAAATTTATCGATGTAAATCCCTTTAGCTACATTATCGTTTTGGAATTATATGATAATAGTTTACATAAAGTAATAAAAAAAAAGTTTTTGAGTTTAAGGTGGAAATCAAAAATGGATTTACTATAATATAGTTCAATGTGACCTACATAGTAGAAAATTATTATCCAAACTCACTTAGGTTTATGTATATTAGAAAATGATCAAATGTGGATTAATTTCATATTTCATCTGAAGTTTTATGAGGAAATAGCAGGGAGATATTTAGAAATTATGCTACTGGAAAACATCATTAATGATCAAGCACGTGCACGTGATACTCGTTTAGTAATTGATATTTGATATTATGTTAAATTGTATATATTATTATTTTAAATTGTATATATAACACAATGATATTCAGATTTGATGGTATAAATGGTTATCCTTCTGAATGACCAACTGCCGAAGGAT